TTGGCTGTTCAGTGAGCCCAGCCAGACTAGACCCTGAGGATCCCTGTCCCCCCTGATACCACGTGGCCTCCATCAGCATTTCTGGCCCAGCCTTCTGGGTCCAGCCACACCCAGCACAGGGCCTGGCACTCTTTCTCCAGGCTGGGTCTTTTATCCTAACTTGTCAAGTCTACCACTGCACCTGAAAACACTATTTTTTCTTGCACTCTGGATCTCCAAGGTCACTATGTAGAATCCAGGCCTAGGTGACTCATGTGGAGCATCTAATTGAGTCCCCGATTGTCACTAAAACTAGTAAGATCAGTCACAACCTCAGTTGTATGTGTCTGAGTGTAATCATGTGACAGGAATCAATTCACTTGTGTGGTCACAGTTGCCTGCAGGCTCTCCTGAGACACTCCAGGTCCTGCCCAGCTGCCTCTGCATTGTGTCCCACATGTGCCCATGGTGACCCAAGTGCAGGTGGCTCTTTTCATCAGGATGGATTGGAGGCTGCATGCAAGGTTTGCCCTGATGTGGTTTGAGGCAGACAGGATGGAGAGATGGCTCCTTGACCCTGGTCAGACCCAGGTGCTCTGGCAGACAGGTTTCAGTCCCTCCCATGAGGTGTCCCATGTATGTTCAGTGAGATCTCCTTCACCTCTGACACCTCAGATGCCTCACCGGGTTCTCTTTGCAGCAGAAAATAGATGCTAACAAATTCTGTTGATGAATCCATCTGGGCCATAAGACTCAGGGAAGCCACTTGCCTGCTCACCTGAATAGATGCAGCAAGCCCGACCCTACCCTCCAGGTATCTAAAACCAGGATTCCAACAATAAAATCCTTGCAATTCACAGGGGAGCCTGAATGTTTTGATTTTCAATGAGGCATTGATTTTGTTGGAGAATATGGGGGAACAACTAGTGCACCTTGAAACATCACTGCTCAATTGCAGCATTGCCAAAATACCCCAGCAGAACGCATTAGGGCAGAGTGTCTGTGGGACAGGTCCATAGTGCACATACATGACCTCCCGACTGAACTCCCTAGGAGCATGTGACAGTGAAGGACAGAGAGGCCCAGTATATGCTGATGATGATAAAGCTTCTGCACAACAAAATCTGTCCTTTCTGCCCCCTG